GCCCCCTCCGCCTGCAGGGGGCGCTGGTCTCTCCCTCCAGGTCAGGGTTAGGGTTAGGGTCAGAGCACCCAGGCCCCCCGCCCCCTCCGCCTGCAGGGGGCGCTGGTCTCTCCCTGCAGGTCAGGGTTAGGGTCAGAGCACCCAGGCCCCCCGCCCCCTCCGCCTGCAGGGGGCGCTGGTCTCCTCCTCCCAGTCAGGGGAGGATAGCCGGCCAGCGTGGCTCTGTGGTGGAGCCTCCATCCATGAACCAGGAGGTCAGGATTCCATTCCTGGTCAGGGCACAGGCCCGGGTTGTGGGCTTGCTGCCAGTCCGGGACATGCAGGAGGCAGCCGACCCATGATCCTCTCTCATCATGGATGTTTCTCTCTCTTTCCCTCCCCCCCTCTTCCTCAATAAAAACGTATTTCAGCCAGGACCGGTGTGGCTCAGTGGATAGAGCGTCGGCTTGGGGACTGAAGGGTCCCGGGTTCGATTCCGGTCAAGGGCATGTACCTTGGTGACGAGCACATCCCCAGTGGAGGATGTGCAAGAGGCAGCTGATCAATGACTCTCTCTCATCGATGTTTCTAACTCTCTATCTCTCTCCCTTCCTCTCTGTACAAAATCAATAAAATGTATTTTTAAAAAAAAACGTATTTCAAAATAAAATGTAAAAACAAAAGGACTCTCAGAAAGGAGCCAGCACAGGAGGCAGAGATGCTGGTGCGGCAGACGGGGGCCCAGAGCGCCCCCCGGGGGCAGGCAGGGGCCTCCCTCAGCGCCCCCCAGGCCCCCCACGCCCCCAGGCCCCCCACGCCGCCGCCAGGGCGCCCACTTGTTGGTGGGGCTGAAGATGAAGAAGGCACTGGCTTCCGGGATGGGCACCGCCTTCTCCTTCAGCTGCAGCTCGGCCAGCGGCCGCGGGCGCGGGCTCAGCGGGATCTCCGGTTCTTCCTCTTCGTCGTCGCCTGGGGGGACGGAGGGCGGGCGGGGAGGGGGGCCCTGGAGCCTCGGGGTGCCACCCTCCGTCCCGATGCTCACAGCCGGGGGGTAGGGGCTGGGGGTACAGGCAGGGGGCACAGGAGGGCCTGTCCTGGGGGCTCCCTCTGTCCCGGATGCTCACAGCCGGGGGGTAGAGGGCTTGTCCTGGGGCACCCTCTGTCCCGATGCTCATGAGGGGGGTAGGGGCAGGGGGTACGAGGCAGGGGGCACAGGAGGGCCTGAACCCCAAGAGGAAGCCCGGACGCTCACCTGGGAAGTCCGCCGAGGGGTAGGGGTCCTTCACCTCGTTGACATTGGATTCGAACTCATCAACCTTCAGCTGCCGGAGGGACACAGGGGAGGGAATGGGGAGAGGGGAGACCTGCCGCTGCCGCGCGGGGGCCGTTCCGGGGGGCGGGGCGGGTGCAGGCTCTGCCCCCAACTCCCCTACAGCCGGGACAGGGAACACCACGCCATCCCCTTTTTATTTTTTATATATGTTTTATATATATATATATTTTATATATGTTTTATTGACTTTTCACAGAGAGGAAGGGAGAGGGGCAGAGAGTTAGAAACATCGATGAGAGAAACATCGATTGGCTGCCTCCTGCACACACACACACACCCGGGATGTGCCCGCAACCAAGGTCCATGCCCTTGACGGGAATCGAACCTGGGACCCTTCCGTCCGCAGGCTGACGCTCTATCCACTGAGCCACACCGGTCAGGGCCCATTGTATTTTTTTAAACAAGTTTTTATTGATTTCTGAGAGGAAGGGAGAGGGGAACATCCACGATGAGAGAGAACCGCGGACCGGCTGCCTCCTGCACGCCCCACCCTGGGGATGGAGCCCGCACCCCGGGCCTGTGCCCCGACCGGGACCCGAACCCTGACCTCCTGGCTCCGAGGCCGATGTTCCATCACGGAGCCACGCCGGCCACACCGGCCGGGCTGGGCATCTGTCCCCATGGGAGTGGACGGCGGTGCCCCCGCCTGGCTGAGAGCCCACCCACCAGCACCCACAGGCTCCGGGAACCAGGGGCCCCCCCGCCACCCCGGCCTCGGAGCCGGCCGCTCACCTTGGCCGTGGTGGGGATCCCCTCGCCCTTGGGCTTCTGCTCCAGCTTCTTGGCCAGCACGGCCTTCTCCTCCTCCGGCCGGCCCAGGAGGCCCCTGGGAGACAGGCCGGGCCGGAGCCTCTCAGCCGGGGTCTGCTCAGCGGGGACGGGGCGACCCTCGGGGGACACCGGGGACTCGGGGGCTCGGGGGGAGGGGGGACAGGCTGTGGGCACTGTCAGGGCTGCATGCCAGGGCCCCTGTGGGCCGGGCCCCGGGGAGCCGCCTGCCCCCTCCTCCTGCCTCCCTCCCCTCCCCCCTCCCCCCTCCTCCCACTCCCCCCCTTCCTCCCCTCCCCCCTCCTCCCGCTCCCCCGTCCCCCCTTCCCCCTCACTTGGACATCTTCCTGCGCTTCCGCTCCTCGGCCTTGGCCTTCTGGGCGGAGGTCAGGCTCTCGGCCTCGGCCAGGTTGTCCACGGCGATGGCCAGGAACACGTTGAGCAGGATGTCTGCGCGCCGCTAAGGAGCCTGGGAGGTGTGTGTGTGGGGGGGTGGGGGCAGCCCTGCCCTCCTGGGTCCCCACAGGAGGCCGAGCACAGGCACGTGGCCACCTCCTGGGGGGCGGCCTGACTCCCCGCCGCCCTGAGCGCCATCGGCTCCGCCGGGACTGAGCCCGGCCTCGCACGGGGGCCCGGGCCTCACACCGGGGCCCAGCCTCACACCGGGCCCAGGCCTCACACCGGGGCCCAGGCCTCACACCGGGGCCCAGGCCTCACACCGGGCAGCCCCAGGCCTCACACCGGGCAGCCGGGGCCCAGGCCTCACACCGGGCAGCCCCAGGCCTCACACCGGGCAGCCCCAGGCCTCACACCGGGCAGCCGGGGCCCGGCCTCACACCGGGGCCCGGCCTCACACCGGGGCCCGGCCTCACACCGGGCAGCCGGGGCCCAGGCCTCACACCAGGCAGCCCCAGGCCTCACACCGGGCAGCCGGGGCCCAGGCCTCACACCGGGGCCCAGGCCTCACACCGGCCACTGGGGGGGCCCAGGCCTCAGGGGGCCCTGCCTGGAGCCCAAGAGCCAAGGACAGGGCTTCCTTCCCTCCCGCTCAGAGCATCAGAGCCTGTGCCGTGGGCATCGCTCTCCCCGGCTGCTGGGAGGCCTTGGCCCATAGCTCTCCCCTGACCCATGAAGCCTCTCCCAGGCCCCAAGCGCTCCGGGCCGGCTCTCCCGGCTCTCCCTGGCTCTCCCTGGCTCTCCCTGGCTCTCCCGGCTCTCACTGGCTCTCCCGGCTCTCCCTGGCTCTCACTGGCTCTCCAGGTCCGGCTCTCCCTGGCTCTCCCTAGCTCTCCCGGCTCTCACTGGCTGTCCGGGCCCGGCTCTCACTGGCTCTCCCCCTCTCCCCCTCTCCCCCTCTCCTGGCTCTCCCGGCTCTCCCCCTCTCCCGCTCTCCCCCTCTCCTGGCTCTCCCCCTCTCCTGGCTCTCCCCTCTCCCGGCTCTCCCCCCCTCCCGGCTCTCCCCCTCTCCCGGCTCTCCCGGCTCTCCCCCTCTCCCGGCTCTCCCCCTCTCCCCCTCTCCCCCTCTCCCGCTCTCCCCCTCTCCTGGCTCTCCCCCTCTCCCCCTCTCCCCCTCTCCCCCTCTCCCGGCTCTCCCCCTCTCCCCCTCTCCCCCTCTCCCCCTCTCCCGGCTCTCCCCCTCTCCCGGCTCTCCCCGGCTCTCCCCCTCTCCCGGCTCTCCCCCTCTCCCCCTCTCCCCCTCTCCCGCTCTCCCCCTCTCCTGGCTCTCCCCCTCTCCCCCTCTCCCCCTCTCCCCCTCTCCCGGCTCTCCCCCTCTCCCCCTCTCCCCCTCTCCCGCTCTCCCCCTCTCCTGGCTCTCCCCCTCTCCCCCTCTCCCCCTCTCCTGGCTCTCCCCCTCTC